CTCGGCGCGGAGTGGGCGGGGCGCGGCGCGTTTGTGATGCTGATTGACTGGAGGTGTGCGCCCGCGGCGCGCGGCAGCGACGGCGCGCCATTGGTGTCATGCGAAGATGGCGGCGTCCAGGGGAAGCTGAGAGCCGTGGGAGGTGGTGGGACACTTCCGTACAGCACGAGCGTGCGGCTTTGGGAGCGGAGGGAAGGCCCCTTCGCCCGGTGTTTCCTGTACTCAGGTTCGCGCCGCGCATCCTCCCAGGCCGTCCGAGGCGATGTGGAGGAGCTGCCTCCGGCTGCGGGATGGGGGCCGCCGCCTCCTGAACCTGCCGCCGGCTGGACTCACCGCCTCAGTCCCCCGGGCCCCAGCCCGGGCCTACGCCCCTCCGACAGGTGAGGCCAGCACATGTTCCTTTTTGGGCAGGGGCTATCGGAGCTGGGGGCAGGTTGCGAACTTGACTGTGCGGGGCAAGGTGACAGGCAGTTGCAGGGTCACGAGGTTATTCAGGCAGGTCGAGTACTGTTACAGGTGGGAAAGTGGAGTCTAGACCCGGGCAGGGGCGACCCGAGGGCCCACAGCGCGTCATGGCGGGAGACAATCATGGACATTTGACCTACGCTGCTCTTCTCAACGCTTATGGCTTCCCTCTTCATAAGGGAGGCAGTTAGGCACCACTCTGGATCAGGACTTCTCCAAGGTCACAGCAGACTCTGAAGTTTGTGGAGGGCAAAGGCTAGCCTGCCAGACCGCTTTCTGGGTCCCCAGTGTCCGGCAGGAGACCTGGCATAGAAGGGGGCCAAACTCCTGGCCTTGAGTCCTCCATCCTGAGCACTTTCTGTTCAGGTTTCCTGGCTCTGTGTCCTACCACAACTCCTCCATCTCCAGCCTTTTCTCCTAAGTAGAGTTGACACCATGCCTCTTTCCTCCCCCCGGCCTCCATTGAGACCTAGGAGTGTTGACCTCATTGCACCGGGGAGAGGTTTAGAGTAAAAGTGGGAGTGACTCACTTCAGTCCATGAAGACTAGCACCACTCTCCTTCCACTTCGTTGTTTGTGTGCTGGGGTCAGGAGGCAGAGGTCAGGACATACATGGTCTCATCTGAATAATGTTCACTGTCAAACACAGAAGGTTACAGTGTCCCCTATTCTACTCCCACCTCGTGGTGTCATAGGTCTAGAAAGGGCCTTAGGTGGAAGAGCATTTAAGCTGGCCTGGATAGATGAGTAGGAGTCAGGCCAAGAGGAGGAGGAGTACCTGGAACAGGTGCAGGAGTAATTGAGGTGGAGGGACCTTGTATAAGGCTGCCTGCTTTTGGAGATCAGCTGTGCAGGCAGTTCGACACCATGGCAGGAGTGCGGATCTAGGGTCGAATGTTGGCTGGACCTCTGAGGTACCATGTGATCTTGGGCAGGGAACTATCATTACTTGAGGCCCCAGGTTGTCTCGGAGTTCTTCTGGCTGTCAAGTGTCATAACATTTTATAGAGTGGGGAAGAGGTTTGCATACGGCAGGGGCTGGGCCATGAAGGGCAGTAAAGAGGAAGGAGAGGCCAGCCGATGGTGTAGTGATTATGTCGCTGGACTCCCACATGGCCAACCAGTTTGAGTCCCAGGCCCGGTGACTTGAAAATCATGCCAGGCATGTGTGCGTGCATGCCCAAGATCCTGAGAGGAGAATAGTGGAGAAGGGATTGCGGCGTGGCCATCCCCCCTGGGGGTGATTTCTCGCTTTCTATCTCTCTGTCTCTCTCTGTCTGTCTGGTGAGTGCATGTGCCCTATAGCAAAAAGCTCTCAAAAAAAAAAAAAAAAAAGACTTGCCGGCGTGAGATTTTTGTGTGTCGTTGGAGTGGTGGAAGATTAAACTCGCCCTTGGGGTCCTCGATTCCTTCTCAGTGAAGACTTCCATGGGGGACCAGCAGTTAGCGTAATGGCTATGTCCCTGGACTCCCACGTAGTCGACCGCGGTTCGAGTACCGGACCCAGTGGCTTAAACTCATGCTGGGCGCATGTGCGTGCGTGCGTGCTCAAGATCCCGAGAGGGGAATGGAGGAGAAGGGATTGCAGCATGACCATACCCGCTGGGGGGTGATTTCCCGCTTTCTGTCTCTCTGTCTCTCTCTGTCTGTCTGGGGAGTGCATGCGCCCTATAGCAAAAACCTCTCAAAAAAAAAGAAAGAAAAAAAAAGACTTCCATGGCAAGCCGATTGAACTTGTCTTCTTAGCAGTAGCCATACCATTCAAGGTTCTCAGAAGGGAGAGGAGGTGCTTAATTAAAGGTCACCGAGGCAGGTGTCAGAGGAGGTGTTGCGGCAGAGAGACCTAAGGGCAGTGCCGTGGCAATCCAGCTGTCCGTCTGTCTGCGGTCTGGCAGCTCCCTGGAGGAGGAGGTGTTCTGGAGGAGTCGCATGCCTGCCTGAGTGCAGAAACCAGTGAGATCAAGCCTGGACGTCTGTTCTCCACTGTTTACAAACTGTCATCGGAGTAAGACGTGTAGCTGAGAACCTCTGCCACCTCGGAGGCATCGCCTGTCCTGTCACCTTCATGATGGTACGGATTGACATCATGTGGTCTGTAGATGAGGGGTCCACCTGTCTTTGCAAGTAACGTTTGTTAGAGCGCAAGCACACTCACGGGCTTACGTGGTACCCGTGGCTGCTCTCACTAAGTGGTGCGATTGAGTAGTTGCCGCAGAGACCATATGGCCTTCAATGCCTAAAATATTTACTGCCTGGCTCGCTACAGAAAAAATTTGCCAACTACTGCTGTAGACAGAAGAGTAATTTGGAAAATAGTATGTTTATACATTTTGCCTGAAAGTTTTTATTTTTAAAGGTTATTCACTTATTTCTTCCACGAATGAGAGAGGAAGAGAGACAGACAGACAGCACGCCCTACAGTGTTGTGATTCTGTGACCCACCTCCAGCTTCAGCCAGTCCAGATTATCGGCACGTGTGTGCCTGCCATGCTCAGAGAGACCTCTGGGAATGAACCTGGAGCTCTCCGTTGTGAGTCAGCTCTCAGAGCGTTGAGTTCATCTTTCATTTACTATATAGGGCACATGCACTTGCTGGGGAGGCCCAGGGAGAGGGAACGAGAGAAACCCTGGGTGGAGGGACCTTGGAGGTGAGGACCCCTTAGAGGTGAGGACCACGCTGCGATCCTTTCTCCTGTTTTCCTGTTGGGATCTTGAACTTGCACACATATGTGCTTGTTTTTCTCAAGCCCCCAGGTTCAGGACTCGAACTGTGCAGTTGGCCATGTGGGATCCAGCCACCTTAATCACTGGCTGGCCCAAACATTGCATTTTAACCCTGCACCACTGCCTAGCCCCTGAAGGATTTAAAAAACATCCCTATACTATTCGATTCGCTCACGTAAGGTGTTTTAGTGTGAATAGTTTCGAGTATATTCAGAGTTGGGCAGCCATCCTCACCATCAATTTAAGACATTTTTATCATCCCAAAGAAATTCACAGTCCTTACGGTCTTTGCGATTATTCAGTGTCATCACCCTTACCCCCCTCCATCTTGCCCTAGGCAACCACGACTTTGCTTTCCTCCTCTGTACGTTTCTTCCGGACATTTCATATGAATAGAATGTGGTCTTTCCTGACCGGCGTTTCTCACTTAGCATATTTCTAAGGCTTATCCATGATGTACCGTGTATTAGTATATATTTTTTTTTTAGAGGTTTTTGCCTTAGGGGCTGTGTACTCTCCAGCGAGAGAGAGACACACACACAGACAGTGAAAGAGAAAGTGAGAAATCACTCCCCCACCCCAGGGAGATGGCCACACCACGAATCCTTTCTTTTCCTCCCAGGATCTTGGACGCACACGCACACGCACACGCGCATGCACATCCGGCATGAGTTTCAAGCTACTGCATCTAGGACTCGCACCGTGGTCGGGCTTGTGGGAGTGCAGCGACGTAACCACTATGCCATCTGCTGGCCTAAGTATTCTATTTTTTATTACCAAATAACATCTCGTTGTATAGACGCACAGCCACTCCTCCCTGATGACCTACCTGTTTAACGACTGCTGGGACTTAGTGACCAGTTCTCTCGCGTGGGGACATCCTGTCTGTGTGACTCTCGGGAGTCCCTTCTGAGTCCTTGTCTTGTTCCTGCAGTCGGCTCGTCTTCACTACACGAAGTGTTTGCAGTCACGTAAGACTGCATATTTCATTTATGAATTTGTACTCTATTGTGCATTATTAGTAGTTTTCAGAATAAATAAAAGCAGTCACATCAGATTTATATTGTATTGTGTTTCTCGCCTTCTGGTGCTTATCTAATTATGCTTTCCTTGTGGATAAAATGAAATGATTCTAGTGTAATGTCGTGTGATATCTATTGAAAACTATATATCCCGTGGCACCATGACACCCCACCAGACAGCTGCCTTTAGGCTGCCCACTAATTGACCAGTTCGCTTAACAGCCTGGTCAAGGGACAGGGACTCGGCCGTTAACCGAGGAGCGACTGTACTGTATTTTGCTTACCCGCTGGGGGACGTTCGGGCTGTCCGCACCGCTTGGCTCTGATGAATAATGTTGCTGTAAACATTGTGTACACACATGTTTGTGTGGGCCTACGGCTTCGTCTCTCTGCGGATGCCCCAGGAGTAGAATTGCTGGGTCAGACGATAACTGCATAGCTGCCCGAGGAGTTGCCAGGCCTTGGCAAGGTGGCTGCACCCTTGGCATCTCCACCATCCATGTGTGACGGTTCTTGAGCACTTCCTGTGCTTATTGGCCGTTTGTATGCGTTTTTTTTTTTTTTTTTAAGAAATGTATTTAGATCTTGGGCAGTTTTTTAATTAGGTTATTTGTCTTATTATCAGCTTATAAGAGTTCTTTATATGTATTATTTTCATACATATGAGGCTGGACTGAAGAATTTTGATAACCTGAAAACAGCCGGTTGGCGCGGCCCTGCAATTACTGATGGGGTGCCCCAAGGTAGAATCTCAGCTTTGAGGTTTCAGGCCCGCCAGATGGCACTGTTTTAAAAGCTAAAGCTGTTGCGGCAGCTCTGAGAGGGCACTTCCTCTTCTTGGGGCATGGTGGGAGTTGTAGTTCCTGAGGCTTTAAGTCCTTCCAGAGAGAAAGGCCAGCCCAGAAATTACGACTGGTTAGAAAGGCCACTCGCTGGTTCATGAAGACTGGCCAGGGGGATTGTAGGGAAGTGACCCAGAGGAGCACCCTCAGGACGCAGAGACCCAGAAGGCATTCCTTTCCAGTTCAGCATGCATCATACAAGCGGGCTTGTCTGGCTGTCTGCTTTCCTAGCGGGTGTGTGTGCTCACCAGAGAGAGAGAGAGACAGAAACGGGGAGGGGAGGAGAAGGTACCCTTCATGGGCAATGGCCACACTATAATTTCTTCT